TCAATTGTAGACAAACATGTTAGAGGTTGGATGGAATTGCGGATTCACGATCATATCCAATGGAGGTTGGCGGAATTATGGTATGAAGCCTACGTAATTTAAGTTCAAGATCCAAGTTTAAGCTTCATCCGCAAGTGTACCAAGTCAAGCTTATTGAAGATCAAGATTGCTTGGGTAACATTAGTTTAGGTTTATATTATGTGTGTTAGTACTTTAAGCTCAATCATATATACACATACATATTTAGTTTTTATATATAGTTATATATATACACAAGTTTTGGTTATGGAATTAACAATCATTGTATACATATTTCATTAAGTCTATAAAATCATTTCATAAGGTTTCAAAATATTGTTTATATCAAAACATCAAATTTCATGTATATCATATTTTCATGTTTTGGACACACTTGCAAAATACATGAGTTTTCACAAATAGGAAACTCAATTTGAGAAATTCTTTTTCTAACATGTTCAATTTCATGTTTATAAATGTTTCTCAAAGTTTTATCAATTTTGGAATTAATTTGTTATATTTATTTGAATTTACAAAATCAAGTTTTTAATAAGCTCATGTTCGTGCACATGTCCGTGCATGTTTTTGCAAAACTGATGCGTTTTCACAATTGGGAAATGCGATTTGAAAAATTTCTTCGTTTACATGTTTATACTCATATATATAAACATTTCCCCAAGTTTTACTAATTTTGGAGTTGTTTTGTTATTTTTAATTGAATTTACAAAACCGAGTTTTCAGCAGTTTTTTCAGAAACTGTATATCTGTGTTCAAACATTTATTTCTCTCAACTGGGAAGTGATATTTCAGAAATTCTTTCTCTAACATGTTTATCTACATGTCTAGAACCTTCCCACAAAATTTCATGATTTTTGGAGTTGATTTACTATTTTTAATTGATTTTACAAAGTCAGATACGTAAAATTTCAGAATCTGGCAAAAACAGAAACTGTCCGTGAACAGTATGGTCGACCGCGCTACAGTATGGTCGGCCGTTGTTACTGTAGCAATCGGTCGTTGCACAATAACGATAACATCTATTTTTTTGTTTTTTAATGGGTTTTTGAGATTTTTTGAGTTGTTTTCTTCAAGCCTATATATACCCTTTTGTCATAACTATTTTAAACAACCATGACTGTTTTAAACAAGTTTAAGAAAGTTTTAACAAGGATTTATGGTTGGTTTAAGTTTGTTTAAAAAGCTTTTAAACATTTGAGAATTTGATTTTGTGAAAACAATTTCACAAGATCTTGAGGAGATCATCAATTGAAGTTTGGGCATTCAACTCATCTCTCTCTCACTCTTGATCTATAGAGAAGTTTTTCTAAACTCATTCTAGCTATTTATTGTTTTGATTCTAATTTCCATAAGCTAGATTTATTTGAGTTTAGTTTGTTTTATTGTATCTCATTATTTACACACACAACCATTAAACTTATTGTATTTCATACATAGTATAATTTGGATTATGGGGAGTGTAACTTAAAGATTGAGCCTACATTGTGTTCTCATCTATTGTAGAGAACAAATTATTTATATTTGTGAGTTTCATTGTGAGGATACACTTTGTAATACACTTGTACACCAAGATGAGTGGTTGGTGAGAGACGGGGTCGAATCCAAGAGGAGTGGCGTCGGTTGACGAACCTAGGGAGAGGTCGCATCCGAGCACTTAAGGAGGAGAACACGAACTAGGCCAACACTTAGAGGGTGTAGAGTGTGATTGCAAGTGTGTAGTTGTAAAGTTTTCGGTTAGCTAGAAAACCAAGTGTGAGGTATAAACGTTGTTTGGGTAAGCGTAAAAAACCTGGTTGTGATAGTGGATTTCTCCCCGGGAACGGGGAGCGGAAACGTAGGACGGAAGGTCCAACTCCGTAATCATTTGCTTGTGTTTGAGTTTGCTTTGACGTTTCATTTGTGCTTAGTGTTCATTGCAATCTTGTCGCCATCGTAAATTGCCCTATCACATTTGTAGATTATTTCACCCTTGTGTTAGTTTATATATCCTTGCATATATTTCATAGTATATCTCATTGCTAGGATATATTCATTTGCTCATGTTGCTTATTCTTGCTTATAACATATTGTATATCTACCTTGCAAGAATAATAGTTTGAATTAGTTTTAATTGGCATAAAATCGGATTAGATTAGCATAAGACCCTAATCACCCTCCCTCTAAGGTCTAACAATGACATCCTCTCGTGTTACAATGATTTGATATGCGAGCTCTGCCGAACCAAGCATAACAAATTTGTATAATTTTGAAGTCCATTTAGAGTCTTTAATCTTTCTTTTTCAATCTCAGTGATTTTCTAATAGCGTTGCTGTTGCTAAATGCAAACTTTGTTCTCCCAGTAATTAGTATTGGAAAAAAAAAACTGATCTAGTTTATGATATCTTTGAACTGAGAATTAAACTTAATCAGAGAGTTAAAATTCTATAAGTATGACCGTAAGACATATTATATCTCCTTAGACTATGATGTGGCTGCAGTTGCACCAAGGATCAAAGGCTCTAAAGTCATAAACATGACCCATAAGGATTGATTGCTTGAAGATATTCCGCTACTCCAAAGCCTTACAGTTAAGCTAAACAAGAGAGATTCGGTGTTAGAACATCCATATCCACTGACAAAAATGTGAGGCACCTAACCATTTATTCTTTTAAAGAGACTAGATCGAAGTTCCACCAGGTTCCAAAGAGAATCATTACAAGTAGGCCCTAATATTGCTTAGTACTATAGCTTTGATCATGTTTATGAGAATCCAATACTAAATCAGGCTCCTTGCTATGGGCTAGTCTTAAAACTTCATAAGAAAAAAATCTAAGGCTCATAATGCACAAGGTAAAAGATGAAACGAGGACGATGGAGATAAATTACAATGTTATCGATAGCGGATAGCGTCGCATAGCGATGAGGCATCGCTAAGGCTATTTCGGGCTATTACGGTAAAATAACGGTAAAAAGCGCAAAGTCAAATAGCGGTCTAATTTAGATATGTATAAATACTAAAAAATTAAAGAAAATTTAAGAAATCTAAAAGTACATATTGGATGATTTAAAGAGATCATAAACATGAAATAGACATGTAACCATCACGTAATACCAAAAATGACTGGAGGAGTTAAAAAACCGTCGTCTTCGAGAAGAAGAGCTTAGCGATGACAAGACTACCCTAAGAGGGGCTCACGGTGAAGGAGGTGAGAGAAAGTATCAAGGTAGGTGCCAGAGACTATGAAAGGTGACGGGAGTATGCTAAAAATCATAGGAGACAGTGGAATGCAATGATCAAGGGTTGAGTTTAATTTTAAAAAAATAAGCTGCAAACCGCTTTTAAATAACAGTCAAAAAGCAAATTTTGAATGCAATCACTCACTATTTACCGTCATGATACACTATTGGCCGCTTTTGTGAACAGACATATTCCGCAATATGTCATCGTTATTGCGTGATAGCGTAGCGGGCTATAGCGTCGCGGGAAGGGACCGCTAACGCTATTAGCGCCGCTATTGCGGGGTTATTTACCGCTATTTATAACAGTGATAAATTATCACTTGTCCAACCAGGAAATTGCATCACAAACTGTTATACTTTCCAATGTTTAAAGTTGGGCATAACCACATCATAAACCTTAAGTGGATCTTCTATTTGGGGACACTTGAATCAAGCAAACACCATTATGGGTCTAACAATATGTATGTTCAAATGAAAATCAAATACCAGGCTTTCTTCGTGATCCAAAAATACCTTATACGACCATCCACATATCAGGATAATTTTGCTTTCTGGCCATAAGGGAAAAAAAGTAAGAATCTTATTAAAGTTGTTGGTCAACTCATTTCAGAGGGCTATACGAGAGGTGGCGTTAGTGCATGTTGTCCTTTCTTTTTACCCAATTTATGTAAATTATCTGAAGCAACATAGAAGTGTTTTTCAAAAATTAAAGCAGTTGGCTATACTTCTGATGCATATCTAGTTTAATGGATTTCATAACCTCTCTTCTAGAGCTTAGTTTCAGGCATAGTCCTTCCACTAGCCTCATAGTGTGAGGTTCAGTCGCACCAAGATGGATAGAAGTGTTTACTGTAACCTTGTGTTTATCTATTTGTACTACAAGATGATGCTTACATCTTCAAGGGAGCTGCAAACAATATACCATAATTCATAACAAATTTCAGTGTGACAACTTAAAAAGCACTATGTCAAAGTACAAACTAGAGAGAGACTCATATATTTGCTTCTAACTTAAATGTGATTCTGTTATTCAAAAATATTAAGCAAGTTAAGCATAAGTGCAGTAGCCTTCAACATTATAATCAAAATATATACACATCATACTGTTTCTTTAAAATAATCACGATTTCAGGTAAGGAATAGCTTCCACGCATACATATGATATGCCAATGCCATCAATCACAAATGAGCTCAAACCTGCTTCTCAAACTCAAACTCCATTAAGCTCCAGTCTTTTATTACTTGTGTAGTGCTAAGGAGTAAATTACACACCGTTGACATCTTTAAAGGCTGACAGAAAAGCTGAGACCATGACCTATAAATACTCAGAAAGCTGATGGCACAACTCCATTCCATTGAGCTTCTACTCTTTTATTACTTTCTTGTGCTAAGGAGAAAATACTATATTGTTGACTTTTTAAATGCCAACAGAGGTGCTGAGAGCATAGGCCTACAACGCTTTGTTGCTCAGCAACAATAAACCGGTTTTAACAATCATACTTGTCCATAGAGAGGAATTCCTAAAGGGGGTTCCAATAGACTAGTGTTAATGAAGCAGATCAATGCTTATAATCATTTTGATTCTTTATACATCTTCGTCTGCTCACAATAATTGCGTAATAATAGACATGCGTTTAGAAGCATCATACTAATTTTATTTGAATAGAACAATAATCACACCTAACTCATGTACGAATAATGATCCTCAAGAAAGTAGAATAAACAAAAGGTCTTGTTGTCCTTACCTCATTTTATCTGTCAGAGCTTGTGAGAACTTCAAACAAACCGCAGCAATTCCAAATAGACGCATGACGCACTGGTGCTGGGTCACGAGCAATCTGAAGTCACCCAAACAAAACAACATCAATAGATCATGCAACAGAAGGCTAACTGAATAGAACCTTATTTCTTATACCTGTTTTCTCTCAGAAATACCAATCTTTCCCCCGTCAAAAGAGGGTTTTGCAACCTCCTTCACCCCTCCATGAGGTGAGGGATTGCTCACACCAACTGAATTCTCAGGCCTCTCTTCAGGTACTTTGCTACCGCGTTTTTCCTCTTCAGTTATAAGAACAGAATTTTCTACAAGTAGGGAGCTCTTCTCCATAAAGTTGTCCAAATTATTGTTAATCAAGTTCACATTAATCTGAGGCAGAGTTCGTACTGATTCAACAACATCCCTGGAATTCTCAGCAGCAGGAGTATGTTGTTTGTTCTCATCACCATCACCTCCTTTCTCAGAAGCAACAATCTCACCATCGCCGTTCACATTTCCATTAATGGCAGCAACGTCCTCATCCGGCCAAGGAACCACTTTCAATTCCCTCTCATTGGAGGAAGAACCATCAACAGCTTCTATTGAAACATTGGGAGTCTTTTCTTTAACAGAGACGGGTTTCTCCAAATTCTTCAATGTCATATCCTTTTCCACTGATGATTCCTTGTCAGAAACACGAGCAACTCCATGAAATTTGGTCTCTTTGAAACACTCGACATCTTTCTGAGCCTTCTCACCGTCCTCAGAAGCATCACAGTTCTCAGATTCCACCAATTTACTCTCTTTCGAGCTCTCCGCAACCAAACTCTGTAGTTTCTCCCCAGCAATAACATCAACCTCACTCGATCCCTCAGTCTCATCCTTCTTCCCAATTTCCATGTTCTCCATCGAATAATACGGCGTCTGCGGCTCAATCCTCGACTCCTCAACCTCATCTATCCTCCCAATCTTCAACTTCTCCATCGAATAACTCGACATCTCCGGCTGAAATCGCGGCGTCTCGAAAGTCTCGTCGCCTTCATCCTCGATCACAACCTGACGTTTCTCTCTCCCATTCCCTGCATCAAATCGATCCATCAACCGACCATCAAAAGAATAAGGGTTAGGGTTAGAGATCGAGGAAGAACCTTGCTGATGATCATGAACAGCCATCTTATGATTCTTTCGCTTCGACGATTTCTTCTTCTTGGAGCCTGGAGGCATGGTAATGAGATTTGGAGGAAACTAGGGTTTCACCCGATCTAGGGTTTCTTCTCGTCGAAAACGGAGAGAGAGAAAGAGATAACGGTGATTATGATATGATTTTATACGTAAAAAGAAATCAACAAAAGAGGATTTGGAATGGTGAGGGCGGGAGAATTATTACTGCTGGGGGGAAAAATTTACCGCGGAAATTTAATCTGCGTTGGACATTAGTCGAATTATAAAGAGGAGGGAGGAGGAGGAAGAAGGAGGTGAAAATGGGAGGGATAAAACGAACAAGCGTTGATATAATTTGTGTTTCTGTGGTCAGTTTCTGGGTTAAATTGGGTTGGATGGGTTCGTTTTCATTTCTAATTCGTGCGTTTTATTGACGCTCTAACGTCGATTCATTTTTGTGATAGCTTTGATTTGATTTGATAATTCATGTTGGATAACGTGATATCTTATTAAATTATAATATTTATTAATTAATTAAGTCTTAATTAATTTAACTAATTGGTTTAACATATTATTTTGTGGGTTTTGCTTCGGTGCTCCTAAAATCGTTTATTAATTTATTTTAAAAAAGGGTAAATTTGGAAAAACAAAAAAAACTTCGTCCCCACCAATTTCTCATCCACTGAATTCCATCAAACGCGTATAAATCCGTTTAAATAGAATCATAGGTGAATTACGCTAAGAAAATTCCTCAATAAAGATATCAACAAGAAATCTAACATGTGATTGAATGCGATACAAGGAAATTGGATCCGAAGAAAATCGACCATCAACCATGTTGATGAACTTAAACAAAGCAATCATGTTCATTCAAAATCTCAGTTGTTTAGTTGAAAATTAATCGAATGAAGGTTCCCAAGGCCTAAGAGAAAGCCAATTAATGCCGGGCTCATACATACAGTTCCTCCATGCAAAAACAATTTATTTCCAGTCAGATTGGCCCGATGGCGACACTCATGATCTCGGGCTCAATACTCCAGAGAAAGAAGACGCTCGTATGAAGTATTTCATAGGATCGATGACCATATCAAAAATTAAATTCCATTAGGTTTGGCCATCCGCGCAATGAATTAGGGGATTGGAGAAGAAAACCACGTCAAAAAAATAAAGACCACAAGAGTTTTTCATTAGTTGGAGAATTCTAACTACTTCCTATTTATCTTCTTATTTATACTTCCTAAAATAATACTTCCTATTTATCTTCTTATTTATACTTCCTAAAATAACTTTTTTATCTAAGTGAAATTACTTTTTTGGGTGTGGAACTACTGTCAACTACCTTATCCCCTAAAATAACTTTTTTATCTAAGTGAAATTACTTTTTTGGGTGTGGAACTACTGTCAACTACCTTATCTCTCAAATTTAGGATGTGGGAGAGATTTTTAAGGAAACAAACTACACGAACTGCTTGGGAGCACCGAAACGGTTGGCTTATTTTGTATGTTATTATAATACAATACATTATTTTACTTTATACTAAACTATAATTGTTTAAAGCACATCCATAGGCCAAAGGCCTATGATATATATTTATACTAGTCAATGTGAATAGGTTGAGTACCCAAGAGTCACCCTCACTTAGTGGGGTGTTACACCACCATAATGGGGTGTGAATGGAGGGATAATGAGGGGGAGGCCAAAGGCCTCCCTCACTCTCTCTTATCCATCCATTACCTTGGGTTTAGCTTATGAACACTTCAGGGTTCGTAAAGCTAATGGGGTGGATACTTCTGGATCCAGAGTAAACTTGTTTGCCTCGTTAAAACCTTAGCTGTGGAAAACCCAGTGGGAAAAAACCATCAGCCTAAGGAAAAAGAGTACAACCCATATGTTGACTATCATATCTCCATGATAGTGTTTTGATGATAACAATCTATATTGTGTGTGCACTAACTTTCATATGCAGATTTCAATATCAGAATATGTACAAGTGCAAGTGGATATCAAGGCATTTTGAAGTGAAGAAAATGAAGAACAAAAGATAATGTAATTTGATTTTTCTTTACTTAGAATTTTTGTACAAGCCTTGATCACACACACGCACACACCCATAATTTTAGAACACACTAACACAGGCTTAGTGTGTTGGTTAACTATAGAAATCCCCTATGTTAACCATTAGAATAGTAGTTAAAACTTAATTATAAAAACTCTTTTTTATTGAATTTTTTACCTTAGTAGTCGACTAATTAGAATAGTAGTCGACTACTCATGTATAGAACTCAAATACATGTTTCTGTCAATTTACAGTATAGTCGACTAATAGAGATTATAGTCGACTACTGAGATGTTTGACAGAAACATAAGTTTCTGTCTTTTTACAGTGTAGTCGACTAATGACTACAGTAGTCGACTACTGAAGAAAAATATAAATTTTCAAGTTTCTGTCTGAACTCAGTGTAGTCGACTAATTATCATTATAGTCGACTACTGAGAACATTTTCCGAAAACACAGAGTCTGTCTGAACTCAGTGTAGTCGACTAATGACTACAGTAGTCGACTACAAGAGACAGTTTTTCAGTTTTCAGAATTTGAATATCTGACAGTTTTTGGCCGTTTTTAAACGTTTTCAAACTTTAAAAACTTGTCTTTTCAAGGGGTATATATAGGTTATTTGTTCAGAAAAATTGGAAAAATATACATACCCATAAGCTTTGATTCTTGAGCAATTTCCTAAGTGAAAAACATTCTGATTTTCTGAAAAAGAAGAGTTTCTGAAATTGCCTATATACTTTCATCAAAAACAAATCAATTAGGCAATTTTACAAAGATTAAAAGAATCCTAAGCCACTGCTGCACATTATTACACATTCAAGGCTTATAGGATCATTGTGTTCTTCTTCAACAAGTTTTCTCTCGGTTGTGAGAGGGTTAGTCTCTTGGGTTAGAGATTGGTGTTCAAATTGACAAGGAGTTTGTCAATTGGTGTTGCAATTTGCAGGAACTTGCAAATTGGTCAGGTTTGCATTTGATTTTGTAAGTTTATTCAAAATCATAGTGAAAACTCTCAAGCGGGATTTGCTTGGGGACTGGATGTACACCAGTTTGGTGGAACCAGTATAAAATCCTTGTGTTTGTGTTTGCAAATTTCTGAGATTGCCATTTTTTCTTTGCAATTTATTATCTACTTTGCAATAATTTTAAAAGAACACTATTCACCCCCCCTCTAGTGTTCAAGTGTATCTATTTCAGATCCTACATTTGGTATCAGAGCAAGGTGAAAGATGGCATTGTCAAATACATCACAATTCAAGGAAGGTCACTCTACAAATCGTCCTCCAATGTTCGATGGCACGAACTACAACTACTGGAAGTGTAGGATGAAGATCTATCTCCAATCTCTTGGCTACGAACTTTGGAACGTCGTTGAAACGATTTCTCGGTGTGGGGATCAGACCTGTAACCTGCATCTGAATAACCAATTAAGGTGGGAGACCCACCCTTCGGGAAATATAATCCCAGGTCTATAGACCCTTGGAGGTAGCGCAGAAGATGCTTAACTCCATTCCAGTGGCGCTTTGTGGGCGCTGCACTGTATCTGGCTAGTAGGTTAACTGAAAACGCTATATCAGGACGCGTACAGTTAGCCAGATATAGTAGTGCTCCAATGGCACTGAGGTAAGGTACTTCAGGACCTAGCATTTCCTCCCCCTCTTCCAGCGGACGGAAGGGGTCGTTCTTTACATCCAATGATCGAACAACCATTGGTGTACTAAGAGGATGACATTTATCCATTCGGAAATTTTTAAGTAATTTCCGTGTATATGTGGATTGGTGTAACAGGATACCACCCTTAAGGTGTTCGATCTGTAAGCCAAGACAATACTTTGTTTTGCCTAGGTCTTTCATTTCAAAAGTATTCTTAAGGCTTTCAGATATCCCAGCTATCTCTGCAGGAGATCCAATGAGATTTAAGTCGTCGACATAGACGGCGACTATAATGAATCCTGTTCCCGATCTTTTTATAAAGATACACGGGCAGACTTAATCATTTGTGAATCCTTGCGTAGCAAGGAACTCACTTAGTCTGTTATACCATATTTTCCCCGATTGTTTAAGACCATATAATGATCTTTGAAGCCTAACAGAATTGACGTCCCGAGGTCTATCTGCTATCTCTGGTGGAATTTTATATCCTTCAGGGAGTTTCATATAGTTATCTTTATCTATATTGCCATATAGATATGCAGTCACAACGTCCATGAGCTGCATTTCTAGGCCTTCCAGAGATGAGAGGCTTATTAGGAATTGGAAGGTATTCCCATCCATAACCGGAGAATATGTTTTTTCATAGTCTATTCCCGGTCTTTGGGAAAAACCTTGTGCTATAAGTCGTGCTTTGTAGCCACAACCTCGTTGTGTTCATTTCTTTTTCTGATGAAGACCCACTTATATCCCACAGGTTTTACACCTTCAGGTGTTTGGACTACAGGTCCAAAGACTTCGTGTTTCAAGAGTGAGTCCAGCTCTACTCCTATTGCCTCGTTCCACTTTGGCCAATCGTCTCTGCGTTTACATTCCGCTAGAGACCGTGGTTCAATGTCATCGTCGTATTCAGTGACGTGAACGGCAATATCGAACGCAAAGTCATCGTTGACGACTGTGTTTTTTCTGTCCAGTACCTCCTCAGTACGTACAAAATTTAATGATGTTTCTCCTATTTGTTCCTCTTCAGGGGAATCTAGGAGGGGAGAGGAAGCTGGTCTGAGCTCAGTATCCTGTGTTGGGTTCATCTTTATTTCTCCAGGATTTTTTCTTTTACGAGGGACTTTGTCCTTCGAACCTGGTGGACGTCCTCTTTTCAATTGAGGTACAGCCGTTTCTGCTGTCGGCGGATTGCATCCATCTTTGGGGATGTCAATCCTAGCTGGCGTGTTGACAGTAGGGACATGTGATCTGACAATCTTCTGGTTATCAGTGAATTTATTCGGAAGTAAATGTACGGTATTCTGAAGATGAAGAATCTTCAGGATCTCATCTTCACATTAACTAGTACGCGGATCATAATGAGACAAAGTCTTGGTGTTCCAAGAAATGGTCTTAGAAGCGTCAGGCTTCCTGGACTGTGTGCCAAGTTTAGGAAATGAATCCTCAACAAATTCACAATCATCAAGACGTGCCTTAAATGCGTCACCCGTCTGGGGTTCAAGGTATCTTATTATAGAGGGCGAATCAAACCCTATATAGATACCCAAACGACGTTGTGGACCCATTTTGGTCCTTTGTGGAGGAGCAATTGGGACGTAAACTGCACAACCAAACACTCTCAAATATGAGATATTCGGAGGTGCACCATAAGCAAGCTGCATTGGTGACAAAATATGGCCACCAGAGGGTCGTATTCTGATAAGCGATGCGGCATGCAATATGGCATGACCCCAAGCCTCAACAGGCAACTGTGATTGCATCAACAATGGACGAGCAATCCATTGCAATCTCTTTATTAGAGATTCTGCTAACCCGTTCTGGGTGTGAACATGTGCTACAAGATATTCAACTTCGATGTCAGTTGCTAAGCAATAGTCTTGAAAGACTTGTGAAGTGAATTCTCCCGCATTATCAAGACGTAATTTCTTGATTTGATTTTCGGGGAAATGAGCCCGCAACTTAATAATTTGTGCCAATAGCTTTGAAAAAGCTAAGTTGCGGGTGGACAAAAGGCACACGTAAGACCACTTGGTTGATGCATCTATAAGTACCATAAAGTACCTACATGGTCCACTTGCGAGGTGAATAGGCCCACAAATATCGCCATGTATTCTCTCCAAGAAGCTAGGAGACTCTAATCCCACTTTCAGAAGGGAAGGTCTCGTGATCAGTTTACCTTGGAAACAAGATAGACATGAGTAATCACCCTTCAGAAGAATCTTCAAGTTCTTCAGGTTGTGCCCACTTGATTGGCTCATGATGCGGTGCATCATTGCTGATCCTGGGTGACCCAGTCTGTTATGCCAAAGTTTAAATTTCGTCGAAGAATGGCACTTCTGGTGCACAATCATGTTAGCTTCTACTGGTTGAATATATGTATGATAGAGACCCGACGGGAGTCCCTTGAATCGTTCTAAGATAGTTTTTGAACCATCTTTTTGACGAGTTACATACAAATACTCATCCTCATTTATATCATTGGTTTCTAAGTGATATCCGTTTAAACGGATATCCTTGAAACTTAGGAGGTTTCTATTAGATTTCGGAGAGAATAATGCATCTTTTATTATTAGTCTCGTTTTATTTGGGAGCAATATCATTGCTTCACCAAATCCTTCTATTATGTTAGATAGTCCCGAAATCGTAATTACAGGATCGTCATAATCATATAAGCTATTGAAATAGCTTCTTTCGCGAAGGATTGTGTGCGTCGAGGCACTGTCCACATGGCACTCACACTTCATCTATAACATGAATGCAATATTTTAATCTAAAGAAAATAATTATCTTTATTAAAAAGTAAAGTGCATTACATGGAAAGTAAAGAACTAAAGATGAAAGTACTATGAGAATTTAAATGCATATAAAGATAACATGGATCTAGTCGAGAAGATCATCCGTTTCGAAGTCATCAGCAGTGAACTGAGTAGACGGCTGCTTTTCCACCAGATTTATTTCAACAGGAGACTTCAGGCTCGCTTGATACAGATCTTGGAGGTGTCGCGGAGTGCGACAGTTTCTGGACCAATGTCCAGTCATGCCACATCTCTGGCATTTGTTCTCCCAAGTGTTCTTGCGAATGGACGACAGCTCAGTGGTCTTCTTCTTCCACTTCTTCTTTCCCTCACTATTGCTGCTCTGGGGAGGGTTGTTTTTCTGGGGTGGACATCTGGCCTGCCACTTAGGGGCTTTCCCCTTGTTGAATTTACCCTTATGCTTTTTCTTCTGCTTCTGGGAGTAAACATGTGAGCTTCGGGTAGAGGAGCTGAGCCTGCAGGGCGTAGGTTATGAGTGGCCAAAAGCAATTCTCTGTTTTGCTCCGCCATCAGAAGGGTGGAGTGCAATTCAGAATACTTTTTGAACTTTCGTTCGCGGTACTGTTGCATGAGGATTGCATCCTTCTCGTGGAAGGATGTGTAAGTCTTCTCCAACATGCGTTCCTCCGAAACTTCTTCACCACACAACTTCAGGCGTGAGGTGATATTATGAAGTGCTGAGTTATACTCAGCTACGGACTTAAAGTCCTGAAGTCGGAGGTTTTCCCACTCATAACGTGCACGTGGGAGGATCACATCTTTCTGATGTTTGTATCGGTCCTCAAGTGCAGTCCACAATTCCTTTGGGTCCTCTACAGTCAGGTATTCGGCCTTCAGGGTCCGATCAATATGTCTCCTGATGTAGATAATGGCTTTCGCCTTATCTATATCAGAGACGATCACTGTAGTAGCAACCTCAGCATTATTTACAACATTACCCGTAACAGTGGCCGGAACCGGTGGAGCAGGAGTTGAAATTGTGGCTAATAAGCCCCGGGCACGTAAGTGGAACTTCAGGTCCACATGCCAACTCAAATAATTCTTGCCAGCATCGTCAAGGACTTCGAAATCAACTCTCGCTATCTTAGCCATTTTATCTATGCATTTGAAAGACATGAATTAATAATAAGGAATTAAAAATTCTTGCAATAAACATGTTGCGTGGATCAGCCCGTCACCAAAAAATAAAAAGTGTCCAAAGTCCGATTATACAGTCCAAAGATAACAAAAAACATAAAATTAAAATACAATTTGGAAAACCCTTGGGGGTCCCTGCATTTTGCAAAAATGCTTTCGTCTTTAATAGAATACACCGGTCTTTGACTTTTTACAATTATATACTCACTACAATTTCTCTCTCAGAAGGAAAAGAAAATGCAAGGAATTTAAATTTGGTGACAAACAGGCTGATCCAAAAACCACAACATTATTTATTTAAACATCCACGCAATTTAATAATAATATATGCAACAGGCATAACAATTGCGCAACATCTCAGGCATATAATTAGATATAACCTAAATATTTAATAATTACGTGGGCCACGAGGAGACATATCATACGCACCGTTAGTTTAGATTACTAACGGCAGAGCGATCTCAGGACCTTCCGTAATTATTAAACATGAAAAATCTAAAGATGTTGCATGTGGATAGGTTTTGAGAGTTAGGCTCTGAGACGTGTGCATGAGACTATGATGTCGACAGTGCAAAACCTACATGCTCTAACTTTTAAGATAAAATGAACAGTAACAGGTACATTTTGTGAACAGTCATTTTTTTAAATAGCAATTAACTAATAGTATTAATTACTAGTTATGCCAACAAATAATGAAATTAATTAGATTAGATAAACAACAATAAAGTTGCTTAATAAACAGAAAAATTCCCGAGTGAACAGTAACCCTCGGTGAATAGTAACAAACTTTTCCCTTTTTCCTGTTAATTTTCCAGTTGACATATATTATTCTACGGATTATAGTAATTACCTCTAGATCAAAGATCTAGGGACGATCGATACTAAAGATCTGTAGAACGCTGCCTCCTTGCGATGATCCGTCGAACGCTCCCGCTGCAACGAACCAGATCTCAATGCGCAAAAGAGGAAGGAAATATTTTTTTTTATGGCTCAGGGATTCAAGAACACTTCGTGCTGATAACGTGTTTAAAACACATCCATAGGCCAAAGGCCTATGATATATATTTATACTAGTCAATGTGAATAGGTTGAGTACCCAAGAGTTACCCCCACTTAGTGGGGTGGTGTACCATAATGGGGTGTGAATGGAGGGATAATGAGGGGGAGGCCAAAGGCCTCCCTCATCTCATAATAATAATATACTATATTATAATTACTAATTAATTATAACTATATTTAATGTTATTAATTAATTTAATATAATATATTATAATAATATGATATATTATATAATAATTAATGTAATATAAAAACAATATATTTAATATATATTTAATAAATATATTTAATATTTTTTAATTCAATTAATATGTAGTTTCAAATATAAACTATTATTAAAAATATAATATTTATTATTTTAGATAATACTTATACTTTAATACTATATATTATTTCCAATATTAACTATTATTAAAAATATAATATTTTATTTTTTATGATAATTACTTACTTTAAATAGAATAATCAGTGTTGGCTCCTTTGTTAAATATAAATATTTATAATAATCATAATATCTATGTAATATGTTTAATATTATTAATAAAAAATATTATTAATAATATAATATATTATATTAATTTATGTATATTAATCATACTTTAATATATAGTAATTTATTATGATTTATTTAGCTAATAAAATATTATTTAATATCTTATAACTACCATAATATTGACAATTATTTTTAAGACTATTAGTTAAATATAAAATGAATTAATAAGAAAATTAGTATTATTATATAATAAATTTTATTACAATATAATTAATATATTATTATATTAAATATATAGACACTATATCATAATACAATATTTTATATCATAAAAATACTATAATAATATTTTTATTCTAACTAATAAAATATATACTAAATAATATAAAGTAAGATTTATAATAATATAATACTAATATTATAATATATAAAATATTAACCAATATGTAATAATGATATAATAATATTATATTAGATAATATTATATAATATTTTATTATCTTGCATTATAATAGAATTTTATAAATATAATATAATTAAGATATATTATATATTATAATACAATTAACATATATTAGATATTTAATAAATTAGTGCTTCAAAATTATCCCGCTTTCCTTGTGATTGTCCCAAAGTTAAGAATGAGATAATTTTTGGAGGTTGGAACAAAAAGTTTGTATAGAAATTGGATAATTTTAGGAAAAGTGAGATAACTATCCTAATCTCATTGTCCCAATGAATAACACCTTAAAGTAAAATCTCAATCTCATTGTCCTAATAAATAAAACCATAAAGTAAAGTCCCGATAATTATCCCACTTATCCCAAAATTACACCAACCAATAACCCCCTAAGAGTACGGATCCGGGTTTGTTTTAAGTGGCCCGAAAACAAACAATTGGGTCCCAAACTAACCTTAAGGGCTTGTTTGGATTGAGGGGGATAATGGGGAAGAGAAGTTAGGGGAATCATTCACCTTGTTTGGGAACATTTAGGAGGTGAAGTTATTCACCCTAGTTCCCCTTGGTTCACCCCTTAATAGTAGTAAATTTGTTACCCCCCAAATTGGTGTGTAACCAAGGGGGAAGAGAACTCTCTTCCCTTTCCTTCCCTTCTCTCACCTGGTTTCCCTTAACTTCCCTTAACCCCATTGAAATCCAAACACACCCTAAAAGGCAATTAGTTCCACTTTATATGTGCACTTGTATAGTTGTATACGTTCGAAATAATTCTTTTTTTTTTTAAGTAAACGACATATAAAATTGATATTATTTAAACTTCAAATCATGGAAATTAATACTACCCACCATCAATGAATATGCATCACGCCAAAATATCGTCGGGTGGTTCATCACGAGAGCGAAAGTAGCTGAAATCGGGCAAACTCACTAGTCGCGTGTCGAACAACAGAGAAATGGCATTCATCAAATGCAACAGAAAATCTTTTGTTCTCTGCAAGCGGAGTTAGCTGAGTGTAAGGTATCTCGTTATATGATTAACATGTTTGATTGTATTTGTTGCTGTCATAAATGATTAGTATGGTCTACCTCTAAACGTATATATTCTTAAATAAAATTTTCTTTCACGCTTCGGACTCCGTCTAAAACAAAGCACAAACACGTGCTTTTAAATATCTCTTTCTCCAATATCACACTTTACAACTCCAATCAATCCAAATGACCGTCACTCAAAGAATATAAACAAACCGCAAGATGCATAAAATCAAAGGAGAACCGCACACAATCCCATAATTCTCGCAACTCTGCGTAGTGTTTCAAACCCTCGATCTTACTACTATAGCAGATGATGCTCCGTGTATGGCTAGAATATAAATAAGCTGGGTCGCCGAAAGAATGATAGCAAACGCCTCCATTGTTCTCTGCGTATATATGCAACAAACATTCATACTTCGAGCAACTTGGCATTACGAAAAATAAATCTCAAACTAAATTCTTTCTAACTTACCAATTTTGCGTTTCGACCCATTAGATCAATCTCCTTGCAAGCCAGACTGCAAAAATATATCAGAAAAATAAGTCTTTTTACTTGGTAGCAATGTCAGATTTTCTCTTTTATACTGAAACTAATTATTAATTTAGCATTTCCATAAAAAAATATATATTAATTTAGCATCTTATATATATAAGAGGGTTTTATCCTAAAAACCACCTTAAAATGGAGTCATTATATAGAAATCGTTTTTTATTTTCAATTTATACATAAACAACTCCATAAAGTGAGTTTTTGTTCTAATCAACTACCTCCCAATCAAAATTTTCTTTTTAAACACCTAAAATACATTTTAAAACTCACGTCGAAGGTATATGACTCGGCTTTGTTAATGTTTAAGTCTATTTAAACTGACGCACCTTAAAATGTGTATTTTAAAGTTATTTTTTATTTTTATTTCTAGTGAAAATTTGATTATGAAGTGGTTGATTAGAGCAAAAACCTATATTAAAATTGATTTACGTATACTTTGAAAATGAAAAATAATTTCTGTAAGATGTCTCTATTTTAAGGTGGTTTCAAGGAAAACACACTACATAAAAACAAGAAGGGATAAGATATAGAAATGAAAATCCCGATGAAAGTGCCCGAGGAGATAATTTGCTCAAAACATTTGCACGCTAGCAACTGTTTACAATGTTGATGACAAATTTTGGCTTACCCCATTGCTATGAGGGTTAGAGTCCAAGCGATGATCGCCGACGAGGCTGCGGCCGGTAAACTATCGGAGTTCCAGGACCGTATATGGTTTACTCCGGCAATGGCGGAGGCAGCGCCAACTACACCAGCGATCAGCGCAAAAGTCACGAAGAATCCGGTGGCGGCGTTCCCTATCGGAAAGAACACCGGAGAGTAATGGTCCGGTGGCACAACCCCAGTATCTCCAGGCCCTGTTACAAGTATTGGCTATGGTTAGTTGATTTATAATTTATTTGCAAATAACCATAGTGTTATATATTTTTCTGTCGGTTTTAAACTCGTATAGAAATTCTTCACGAATATGAAGTTCTGTTCATTGACATGTAATAAGTGGTAATAAAACAAATTAGGATTGGTGAGCAGTTAACACTTGCACCCTCATGCATATAGCTTAGAGCATGTATTTGCAAAATTATAAGCTTATTTAAATGAATTAGATCAAAATACCAATTGGATATGCGTGGTCAATAGCGAAGTCAAGAGCCCAGCCTCCAATTGCGGCGATGATGACGTACATGCAGAAGTTGAGGAGGAGAAGGAAACCAGCAACGGGCTTCATTCCGTCGGCCATGTCAGCGATTAATTAAGGTAAACTAATTGTTGAGAAGTCTAATTCTCTAAGACTCTAATTGCAAAGATTTTGATGGTTGTGACAGCGTATGGCTTCGGTATATATGGACTAATTATATATAGGGGAGGATTTGTCAATTAAGTGTGGTTTGTTCTTTGCTTGCCGGAGTTTTGAGTTTTGGCTGTAAAGGACAAGGACCCTTTAAATGCAAGGAAAGGAGCGGATAACTCTCGGTGTGTGAAGAGAATATTTGCATCTTCACCCTCTCCAAACGTTCAAATTGTGGCCTTAACCGCAAGCTAATGGAACTATTGCATCATTTTCATCGGATTGCGTATTGTACTTCCCATAGGCTGCTCCTCGTGCAGAAGAAATCAGCATGTAGAATATCAAGATTTTCGTATCTGTATCTTTAATGCCCAAAAAGTTTATCTGCATCCTTCTTTTTACTAAAAATTAGCTATGAATGTTAAAATATAAAACATAATCTTCAATTCTCACTATATCCTCAAGAGTTTACATGAGCCGGCTTTTCATTCCATAAAAAGTTCAAATCTTACCATTCACGAATTTAAGTAAAAAAAAAAATTGATCTCCCAACTTTGGAGTTTGCATGTATTGATTAGATACTATGACAATGTACACCTAGATTGAGTTGGACTTGAGTGATTAATATAAGGAAATAATTGGTATGAGGTGGCCGCTCATATTGCAAAATGATGAGCCTCACCACTTTATTTCTTAGTAGCTTATTTAACAAAATAAGCTGTCACATCATATCCATCATTCCCTTAGGGGCTGTTTGGTTGGTTTCCTAAAAAACAAGAAAAGGAAATCGGTACAAGGAAATCAATAAAATAATATTTTTATCCATTTCCATCCCTAAAACTCACCCACAATATCCAATAAAATATTATTTTTATCCTCCAACTCATCTCATTTCATCTCCTTTCTTACCTTTAAAAATAAACCAAACACAAGAAATGTGTCACATCATCCAACTCATCACATCTCATTTTATCTCATTTTTAAAAATCACACACATCATCCAATAATATTGTGACAACTCATCTCATCTCATTAAACATTCATTTCCACCCATTTCCTCAAAAAAAACAAGAAATTAATTTCCTTAAGTACATATCACATCATCCAATAATATACCTTCAACTCATCTCATCTCATCTATTTTCTTATTTTTAAAAACGAACCAAACACAAACAACCTCAAAACATCATCCAATAATATACCTCCAATTCATTTCCTTATTTTTTTAACCAACCAAACAACCTCAAAACAAGTTTTTAAAAAAATCACTCACATCATCCAATAATAAGGTGACAACTCATCTCATCTCATCTCCTATTCTATAATTTCCTTTTTTTTAAACCAAGCAAACAACTTCAAAGTAATTATAATAGGAAATAGGTTTCCTAAAGTTTGATTTCCCAGTTTTTTTGGCCAAACGAACAGGCCCTTAATATAATATTACGATCCATGTAACTTTCAAATCCATCTGTAGGTTTATTGTTTAGGGCATGTTTGGTTATTTCCTAAAAAACCAAGAAATAGAAATAAAAACCAAGAAAACTCAAAAAGTATAATTTCATCCATTTTTATCCCTAAAACACACCCACGATATCTAATAAAATATTATTTTCATCCAACAACTCATCCACCACATCTAATAAAATATTATTTTCATCCAACAACTCATTCATCACATCTAATAAAATATTATTTTCATCCACAATATCACTCAACTCATCTCATCATTTTAAATCACTCACATCATCCAATAAGATGGTGACAACTCATCTCATCTCATTAACAAAATCACTCACATCATCCAATAAGATGGTGACAACTCATCTCATCTCATTAACATTTTATTTCCACTCATTTCCTCCATGGTGACAACTCATCTCATCTCATTAACATTTTATTTCCACTCATTTCCTCCCAAAAAACTAGGAAAATAATTTCTTTAAGTGTGGGTCACATCATCCAAAAATATAACGACAACTCATCTCATCTCATCTATTTTCTTATTTTTAAGAATGAACCAAACAAAAGAAAATAATCTATTACAAGAAATATGTTTCTTATAATTCATTTCCTTATTTTTTTCGCCAATCAAATAACATCAAAACAAGTTTTCTTAAAAAATCACTCACATCATCTTATAATAAGTTGACAACTCATCTCTATTTCCTTCTTTTTTTAGCAAACCAAACACTCTCAAAACAATTCTTCTTAGGAATAGTTTTCCATTTCTTTGATTTCCCATTTTTTTTAGGCAAACAAACAGACCCTTACTGAAAATAATAACTTGGTAAAAAAGCCAATTTGCTTTTATCTCCTTGATTGTTTAAAATACTTTATCGAGAACATCATAATAATATATAGCTTTTATCTTTTTAATCGTATGTGTAGCTTAACATATAATTTCTTGAAAGATGGTCATGGAGGAAGCTCAGGATACCATTAGTTTTCTCGGTTGGAATTTGGAGCTTCTAGGAGTTATTCTTTTGAGCCTCTTCACTTTGGCTATTCAATACCGCCTTTTGTTAAAGGAAGGCAACTAATATTCTCTCTCTTTTGATTTGATGAAATTCCATAGTTGCCTTCTACGGTAAGATACCTATTTGAAAATTTGAATTTCTAAGACAAAGTTTCTTCTAAAGCTGGCAACAGAGATTCTCTCCCGGGTAAAATATTAATTTGGAATCCAACCAGCCATTTGAAGAGAATTTATAGGTGACCAGACCGTATTTGATGGGAAAAAAGAGGGCTATTTAGGGTGTGTTTGTTTGAGGGTGTTTTTTTTTAAAACCCGGTTTTTGGAACAAAAAGTAACATTTTTGTGGTTTTAGAAATCCAAAAATTACGTTTGTTTCATTTTTTTTAAGAAATGGTTTCCTAAAACCTTGTCAAATAGTGTTTTTTTTTTTTGAACGGCCAATTCCTGTCTAAAAGCTCGGAAATGGGCAATTTTTTGGAAATGAGGGTGCCAGCTCAGCTTCTCAGCCTCTCTTGTCTAAAAGCTCGGAAATGGGTCTTTTTTGGAAATGAAAGGGCTCACTGCTTCTCGTTACCCCCCGCTTTGCCATTTCCCTCTTCCTCTTCCCGCCGTTTACAAAAATAATCAACGGATTTTTGCTCAAACGCAGGCATATTTTTGTGTAATGTTGATCCCCCTGTTGATTTCCTCCTTGCTGAACCCTAGCTATTGAGTTGGAGATGAAATTTCTTTAGGGTTTGGAGGTTTACAACGGGTTCTGCAGTGTGATTTTGAGGGTTTTCAGGTAGCTTGCCGGCGTAGTTCTTGCGATGCGATTTGCTCTTAAAGATCAGTGACCTCGGTTCACCCCCTCACCCTATTCTGCAGATCTGACGTCTTGATTTCTCGTATAGCTTTTCCTACTTAAGAAATCACCTAAAGGCCCTTCGGATCTGCTCGAAAACATAGCAAATGTATAATCTTTTAAAACTTTGTGATACTTGATTGTGTTTGAGGTTTGGTTATATTCAAACAATACAAAATTTTTTTATCTGCTAGTTGAAGACGTTAGTATTATGCTGATGTATGTTTACTGCTATATGCTGAGATAATTTCTGTTAAAATAGTATATTTAACAATATTTTCTCTCTAATTTTATTTATAATTGGTTAGCTATAGAGATGACTTTGCGTTTAAGGTTTTGCATGTGTTTAAAAATGTTTATTTAACTGTTGTAGATGGATGAGATGGATGACGATACACTAATGAGGATGTCAAGTAATGCCACTATGTCTGCCATCGTTACTGTGTTGACTTGTTTAATGAGAATTCGTGCTAGAAAAAAAACTATCACCTATCATCATAGGGATGGAAAACAGAAAAAGATAGAGTCTAGAAATGCCCACATCAACCGTGTATTTTTTGGCTATAGTCAAAGCTGTAGAGATTATCTTAGAATGATGCCGCATGCATTCGAAAATCTGGTTAGAATAATGAGAGTTACGGGCCTACTGCAGGATTCACGTGGTGTTAAAGTAGAAGAACAATTGGTCATGTTTCTAAATATATTAGCACATAAAACTAAAAATAGAATAGTTAGATCACATTTCATAAGATCCGGAGAAACAATTTCTAGATATTTCATAGTTAGATCACATTTCATAAGATCCGGAGAAACAATTTCTAGATATTTCAACAAATGCCTAGAAGCTGTTGGTCGTATAAGGGGACGGTTCCTGAAGCAAGCACCAAATGAATTGGCGCCAGAGATTACAAACAATCCTTTGTACTATCCTTATTTCAAGGTAACGAACTCCTTCCCTTAACGTGAATTGAACAAATGAGCTTTGTTGTTGTCTGAATTAATAGTGATTTTCGTACAATATATAGGATTGCATTGGCATGATAGATGGAACTCACATCGACGCCATGCTTCCCGCTAGACTTGTCACTCGCTTTAGAGGCCGTAAAGATGTAACCCAAAATGTTCTAGCCGCATGCACCCCAAATAAGTTATTTTCGTACGTTCTAGCTGGATGGGAGGGATCTGCAAACGATTATAGAGTGCTACAATATGCACTTTCACGACCTCAGCCTCATGGGCTGAGGGTCTACGATGGTAATTAATTATTAATGACTAAATTTAATATTTAATTATAATCTACATAAATATAGCTATTTACTATAATGTGTTGTTTATAATTGTAGGCAAATATTATTTGTGTGATGCGGGTTACACAACAATGCCTGGCTTCATCTCCCCTTATCGTGGCGTACGTTACCATTTAAATGAGCACAAGGGTAGGCCGATAAATAACAGAAGAGAGTTATTCAATTTACGACATTCATCACTAAGGTCTAAAATTGAATCGACCTTTGGATTATTGAAGAATCGTTTCAAAATCCTCACAGCAAAGCCTCATTATCCTTTTCCTACCCAAGTTGATATAGTTTTGGCTTGTGCTATACTTCATAACTATATTGCTACAGTTGATCCGGGCGATGACTTTTTGAATGAGGACATTCTTATTGAGGACGATGATGGCGAGATAGATCATGAGGGTGATGACGAGATTGTTGTCGACTTTAC